CCTCATGATAGGTTTAGCTACCCTTGACTAAGGAGCTTGATAGTATGATATGCCTAATTTGACATGGAAGTGTAAATTGAGTACGTCATTACTTATTGTAATTTGATTATGTATCATCTATTGCTAAACTAATGAGGAATCTAAGTTTAGTAGTGTGAGTTGTTTTCTAATTGCATGAGGTTGATTTTACATATAGTCCTTGCTATATCTTGTCTATTTTACTCCGCGTTTGCCTATTTGCCTTGGTTGAGTGGATCTCATTCCCTAGTATCTTTAATTCATTGATTTAGAACCATAGTTTGTTTGTCTTCTAGACGAACCCCAATTCACCAATTGACTTCGAGTTAGCTTAAGTGTAAAGATCTTTGGCAATCATATCCCGTTCCTTGTGGACCGAACTCTTACTTGTCATTATGCTTGGTTTGTAAGGTGTTTGTTAATAAATGTTTTTGATTGAGTGTGGAATGTACGACCGTTCCAACGCCCATCAAAATGGCGCCGTTGCCGGGGAACGGTGTTGTTGATAGCTAATTGATTACTTGAGTCTAGTTCACCATAAAAAAATTTCAAAAAGATTGTTTCTTTTTGGCTACACTTGTAGCCTTGGTACTAATTGCGTTTGTTGAGAGTGTATGCGCAGAACTCATAACAGGATCTTGGTACCTTACGATCCCGAGATTGAGCAAACTTATAGAAGGAGAAAATGAGCCGGTTCTAGGCCGTTTACTACTCCCCCAGCTAGAGAGACCAATTTCGAGGAGGATCGAGATCAAATGGGTGACGCGGAACCACCACCTCAAAGACCTTTAAAGGAGTTGGGAACTCCGGGAGCTTATAGAGCTTCAAGCGGCATTGCTCCACCCGTTACTCAAGCCAATGACTTCGAGATTCGGCCCGCAATGATTAATTTGATTGAAAGGAGGCAATATAGTGGAGCAAAACATGAGAGCCCTCTTGCACACTTGAACGAGTTCGAAAAATATTGCAACACGATCAAGGTAAATGGGGTAACTCAAGAGTTTGTGAGACTAAAGTTGTTTCCTTTTTCTTTGATAGGAAGGGCTCTTGAATGGCTTGAGAAGGAGGTGAGGCCTAACTCCTTGAGAACTTGGGACGAGGTCACCACGACTTTCTTAGGAAGATTCTATTCCCAAAAGAAGACGGCCGAGGCAAGAGCTTTGATCCAAGGTTTCCGTCAAAAAGCTAGTGAAACCATTTATGAAGCATGGGAACGATACAAGGAATACCAAAGGGAGTGCCCTCATCATGGCATTCCGTCATATCAAGTGCTTCAAATTTTCTATGGGGGCTTGAGCCCACAAGGAAAGACTAGCTTGGATGCAGGAGCGGGTGGCCCGATTATGAACAAGACGGAGGAGCAAGTCATAGAGATAATTGAGGATGTGGTGAGGCACCACATGGATTGGCAAGAAGGAGAGAGAGATTCTCTAAACAAGGGAGGAAATGCGGTTTACTCCGTTGATCACCTTAATGCCATCAACAATTTGACCTCCCAAATCGCCAACCTTGGAAAGGAGATGACGTCCATTAAGGCAAAACTAGAGACCTCTAGTTCAACACAAGAGCATCCCTCCCAATCTAAGGGGAGAGGTATGAATTCTAACTCTTCTCCCTCTACTTCTAATAACATGCCTCGTGGATGTTTGTTTTGTGAAAATTGTGGGTCTTATGACCATGATACCTCTTCTTGTAATTATGATTTCCAACCCCAACCCCAATACGAAGATGGTAATGAAAATGAAAATGAACAAGTCAATGCCTTGTCTTATGATAATAGACATAGGAATGATAATCAAAGATACTTACCACCAAATAGAAGAGAACAAGGGGGGAATTCCTATAATTAAAGAGGAAATGATTACGATTACCACAATCAAAATCAATGGGGAAATAGGAACCAAAGGGACCAAAATCCCCAAGGTAACTACAACCAACAAGGTGGTTATGGTAACCATAATCATAAAAATCAAGGAAACTATGGGAATCAAGGGCAATTTCACCAAGGAGGAAACTCTAATAATCGGAACAATTGGAACAACAATAATAATAGAGGTTCTTCAAATCAAAATGCGTCCAATTCGAATGTTAGAGGTAATAGGGCTTCCCAAGACAACCACTATGCACAAGCACCACATAGTAGGTCTAGCTTGGAGGAAATGATGGAAAATCAAACTAAAATGTTCAATTCTTTCATGGCCTCAAGTGAAAAGAAATTTAGTGAAGTGATGACCCATAATAAAATGCTAGAGACACAAATTTCACAATTGGCCAATGCTTTGAAGGAAGGGACTAGCACTTCTAAACTACCACCCCAAGGACTAGATCCTAAGAGGCCTGTAAATGTTATATCAACAAGGAGTGGTAAAGTTTTGGAAGAAAGTGTTCCTAAAAAAGGCAATGAGAGAATGAACATGAGTGAGCCTCCCTTTAAAAGTGATTTTAAACAAGAGATAGAGCAAAACCATGAGAATGAAAAGGAGAAAGAATGTGAGAAAAAAAAAGAATATGAGAAAGAGAAAGATTTTGAAAAAGAGAGTGAAGAGAGAAGAGAAAAAGAGAGAGAAAAAAAACAATTGCAAAAACTACCATATCCTCACAAATTTGTTAGAAACAAATTAGATGTGCAATTTGGAAAATTTCTTGAAACATTGAAACAAATTCACCTTTCAATTCCTTTTACCGATGCTATTAAGCAAATGCCTAACTATGCTAGGTTTTTGAAAGATATTTTGAGTGGAAGGAGAAAGTGTGAATTGGTTGAAACGGTGAGTCTCACCGAGAATTGTAGTGCAATTATCATGAACAAGATGCCACCCAAATTAAAAGACCCCGGTAACTTTTCTATCCCATGTGCAATATACAAGATGCAAATTGATAATGCTTTGTGTGACCTAGGGGCTAGTGTTAGCCTAATGCCATACTCGGTATACCAAAGACTTGGGATAGGGGAACTTCTACCCACCAACATCACCCTACAATTGGCCGATCGCTCTATTAAATTCCCAAAGGGTAAGGTAGAGGATGTTCCTCTAAGGGTGGGGAAGTTTGTAATCCCGGTGGATTTTGTTGTGTTACAGATGGATGAAGATGTTAACATTCCAATAATTCTAGGAAGACCTTTTCTTGCTACTTCGGGTGCTTTAATAGATGTTCAAAGTGCTAAAATTTCACTAAAAGTAGGAAATGAGGTGATAGAATTTGATTTGAATGAGAGCATGAAATATCCAAGCTCTAGTCTTGATAATTGCATGATGATTGATACTATTGATTCTATTGTAACTTCTATGCATGAGCACTTGCTCACTACTAACAATGCCCTTGAGAATGTCCTTTTGAACAAGGAAAAGATAGGTGACCAAAGCAAAGAGATGGCATTGTATGAAGAGATGCTTGAAGGAAGTACGGAACCAAGCAATGAGCAAGTGTGCATGGGAATCACAACACATGATGCATTAGAAGTAGCTACCTCAAGAGAAGGTAAGGGTGTTCCAATGGTAGAGTTGAAACCTCTACCATCACACCTAAGGTATGAGTTTTTGGGCCCCAATTCAACTTTTCCGGTTATTGTGAATTCTTCTTTGAACGAGTGCCAAACTCAAATGTTATGTGGTGTTTTGAGAGATCACCAAGGTGCTTTAGGCTATACCATAGATAACCTCAAAGGTATTAGCCCCGCTTTATGTATGCACCACATAACACTTGAGGAGGGTGCTAAGCCTTCCATTGAGAGGCAAAGGAAACTCAATCCTCAAATGGGGGAGGTGGTGAAGAAAGAAATCACCAAACTCCTTGATGCCGGCATCATCTTCCCCATTTCGAGTTCTAGATGGGTTTCCCCCGTTCATGTGGTCCCTAAAAAGGGAGGAATGACCGTAGTTGAAAATGAGAATGGTAATCTCATTTCAACTAGAACGGTGACCGGTTGGAGGATGTGCATAGACTATAGACGTCTAAATGCATCCACCAACAAGGATCATTTTCCTCTCCCTTTTATCGACCAAATGCTTGAAAGACTAACCAAGCACAAGTATTATTGCTTTCTTGATGGTTATTCGGGTTTCTTTCAAATCCCTATAAACCCGGATGACCAAGAGAAAACAACTTTTACTTGTCCCTATGGAACTTTTGCATATAGGAGGATGCCCTTCGGGCTTTGCAACGCACCGGCAACCTTCCAAAGATGCATGATGAGTATTTTTGGGGACATGCTTGAAGCCGAAATGGAAGTTTTCATGGATGATTTCTCGGTAGGGGGCCTTTCGTTCGAGGATTGTTTGTCCAACTTGGGCAAGAGCTTGACAAGATGTGAGAAGGTCAATTTGGTTTTGAATTGGGAGAAATGCCACTTTATGGTGGAAGAGGGAATTGTCCTTGGTCATAAGATTTCAAGCAAAGGGATTGAGGTTGACAAGGCCAAGGTTGAAGTGATAGAAAAGCTTCCGCCACCAATCAATGTGAGAGGAGTAAGGTCATTTTTGGGGCATGCCGGGTTCTATAGGAGATTCATCAAGGATTTTTCACAAATTGCTAGACCCCTAAATGCTCTTCTTCAAAAAGATGCCATCTTTATTTTTGATGAAGAGTGTCTCCAAGCTTTCAACAAATTAAAGGATGCTTTAATCTCAACTCCAATTGTGCAAGGGCCAAGATGGGATTTGCCATTTGAACTTATGTGCGATGCAAGTGATGTTGCGATTGGAGGAGTATTGGGGCAAAGGATAGAGAAGAGGCTTCACGTGATTTACTACATGTCTAAGACTTTGAATGAAGCTCAACGGAACTACACCACAACAGAGAAAGAGTTTCTTGCCGTGGTTCATGCTTTTGAGAAGTTTTGGAACTACCTCATTGGTTCCAAAACTATTGTTTATACCGATCACGCAACCATTAGGTACCTTATTGCAAAGAAAGAATCCAAGCCACGTCTTCTTCGGTGGGTCCTATCTCTCCAACAATTTGATGTTGAAATCCGTGATAAAATGGGGGCCGAGAATGTGGTTGCGGACCATCTTTCCCGACTAGAGAATGTGCAAGCTAGTGATGATGAAATCCCTATATGTGATGAATTGAGAGATGATATGCTTTACATCTTGAATGAAAAGGAGCTTCCTTGGTTCGCCGACTTGGTAAACTACTTGGCTTGTGGAGAATGCCCACCCGATTTCTCCAAGAATCAAAGGAAGAAGCTAAAAAGGGAAGCAAGACATTATGTATGGGATGATCCCATTCTCTACAAACGAGGAGTAGACGGTTTGCTCCGTAGGTGTGTCCCGGATGAACAAGTGCAAGGAGTGCTCAAGATGTGCCATTCCGATCCATGTGGAGGGCATATGGGAGCCAACAAAACTGCATTGAAAATCTTGCATAGCGGTTTGTGGTGGCCTCACATCTTCAAGGACGCTTGGGGATTTGTGAAGACTTGTGACCGGTGTCAACGAACCGGCAACATATCCAAACGCAATGAGATGCCCCAACAACCGATTCTTGAGCTTGAGGTATTTGATGTATGGGGTATGGATTTCATGGGGCCATTCCCAAATTCTCATGGGAATCAATACATCCTTGTGGCGGTCGACTATGTATCAAAATGGGTGGAAGCCATTGCCTCCCCAACTAATGACCACAAGGTTGTCATGAAGATGTTCAAAAAAGTCATATTTCCAAGATTCGGTATTCCAAGGGCGGTGGTGAGTGACAATGGTTCACATTTTGTTCATAGTGCTTTTCAAAAGATGCTAAGAAAGCACGGGGTCCACCAAAGATTTGGCCTTACCTATCATCCACAAACAAGTGGACAAGCGGAAGTGTTTAACCGTCAAATAAAGTTAATCCTCGAGAAGACGGTTGCTAAGAACAGGAAGGATTGGTCAGAAAAGCTTGATGACGCTCTATGGGCATATAGAACGGCGTACAAGACCCTAATAGGCACAACTCCATATCGTCTAGTGTATGGAAAATCTTGTCATCTACCGGTGGAGCTTGAGCACCGGACCCAATGGGCGATCAAGAAGATTAATTTCGACTTGGCTAGCGCGGGAGAGCAAAGATGGCTTGATTTGCATGAGCTTGAAGAGCTAAGGTTGGAAGCCTATGAGTGTGCTAGCAACTATAAGAATCGCACTAAGGATTGCCACGACCGGAACATTGAAAAGAAAGCATTTCTAAAAGGCGATAAGGTACTCCTCTACAATTCTAGGATGAAATTGTTTCCCGGGAAACTTTTATCAAGGTGGAGTGGACCTTTTGTTGTCAAGGAAGTGTTTCCTCATGGAGCCGTGGAAGTTTGGGATATGGACGGCAAGAGATCTTTCAAGGTGAATGGGCATCGCCTCAAGCTTTACTACGAGGGTGCTCATGTGGGTGTTTTAGAATCAACTCAATGTAATCTTACCTCCTGAGTGTGGAGGTCGTCAAGCTATTGACGTTAAAGAAGCGCTTCCGGGAGGCAACCCGAGTAAAAAAAAAGAAAAAAAAGAGAGAGAAGAGAGAGTCAAGAAAATAAAAGGAGTGAAAAATAAAACAATGAATGAGAGAAGAAAAGAATATGAGTGTTGGGAATATCTGATTTTGGCCAAAATTGTTGAATTTTGTTCTTGTGGTTTTGATATAGGTACTTGAAGCAAAAAGAGCCGAAGAAAACAAAACAGGAAGCTGTCAACAGCTAGGAGCGGGCGCTCCAACACAACTGCAAGCCCGCTCCAAGCTCAATGTACGAAACAGTAGGCTTCAAGACTGGTAGGAGCGGGCGCTCCAACTCAACTGCACGCCCGCTCCTGTCTGGGTTAGCAAACAGGTTTCAATCATAGCATTAGAGCGGGCGCTCCACTATCATTGCACGCCCGCTCCTGTCAAATGCCGTAGCCAAAATTGATTTAAGGAGCGGGCGCTCCAACTCAACTGCACGCCCGCTCCTTGCTGGGTCAGAAAGTCAGTTTCTTAACTACGGCTTGGAGCGGGCGCTCCAACATCATTGCACGCCCGCTCCTGTCAAATGCCGTAGCCAAAATTGATTTAAGGAGCGGGCGCTCCAACTCAACTGCACGCCCGCTCCTTGCTGGGTCAGAAAGTCAGTTTCTCAACTACGGCTTGGAGCGGGCGCTCCAACATCTCTGCACGCCCGCTCCAAAATGGTTTTAAAACGGGCAGAAACTCTCTCAGTTAGGAGCGGGCGCTCCTACCCTTCTGCACGCCCGCTCCTACCTGTCCGGGTAAAAAAAAAGAGGAACTTATCTCTCTTTTAATCACTTTACCCATCATTTCTCACCACTCATTCAAACATTCATACTCTCTCTCCTCCTTCCCATCTACTACCCTCTCTAAAAACCTCATATTCTCCAACTTCTCTCTTCATTTTCATTATCAAATCTCAACTTTCTTCAACCGAAATTCACAAATTCTTAATCTACATCAAATTCTCTCTCCAAAAACCATAATTTTACAAAAATTTGGGCAAAAATTTCGAAGACCCACAAGTGGGAATTGAAGAAAATCAATAGGGAAAGGGGCAAGCTTGCTAGTAAAGGAGGAATTTGAGGAAATTGGAGGATTTTAGAGTATTTTCATACTCAAAGTGGTATAATTTTCTTCCTTACTTCACTTTCCCTCTTAAACCTAAGGGTTTTTCTTCAATATTTCTCTCAATTTGTTTATTTCATGATTGTTGTGTAATTAGTTGCATGATTAGGTGATTTAAACAAATTTTCTTGCCTTTGATAATTAAATTGTTGGTTTTTGTGGATAATTGTGGAGTAAGGGAATGGCTTGTGCATGAAAAATTAATTATAATTTGTGAATTTGTGAATTTTTGTGTGAGAATTGTTGTGTTAAGATTGTTGGTTGGTTGTGTGGAATTATTATTGAATTGTGAGCAGGTACCTTGGTTTAATTTGGGGGATTTGAAGTTAAGGAGGTTGTGTTTGTTGAATTTTGGTGCTTGTGTGAGGAGTTTTGAGTGAACCCTTTTTACTCCTTTTTCCAAATTTTGTCAAGATGGTGCTAAGATTATTTGGAGGTGCGGGAGGAAAGAAAAGAAAGACTTCCAGCATCCAAATATCCGAAAACCAAAACCAAAACCAAACTCAAAACCAAGACAATGCTCCTCCTCCCATTAGAATCCCCGAAAAATTTAAAAAGTATCACTCCGAGCTTTCAAAACGAAAAATCCTTCCAACAAGATTTTACGACCAATCAACTGGCCATCTTTTAGGGATAGATGAAGGAATTCGGCGAGTGGCCGATAATTTCGGATGGTTAAACTACCTCAAGAAGAGGGAGCTAACCTACGAATCGATCACTCTCGAGTTCCTTTCAACCTTAACCATGCGCCGAATCAATGGTGAGGGAGAGCCTCTTGAGTGCGAAATTAAGTTAAGACTTTTCAATCAAGAAAAGACTCTAACCTTAACTCGCCTCAATGAAATATTTGAGTGGCCCGTGTATAATCAAATAGACAACCCCGATAGTTTCTAACTTTCTAGCTACGAAGAGCGAAATTGGTGGAATACTATCGCGGAGTATCCTAATTTCACCACCCGGTCTAGCCACGCTAGCCACATTGTCCACCCCGTACTCCGTATATTCATGAGAATTATGGGGTACGCTTGTTTCTCGAAACAAGATCTCGGGAAGCTAACAAAAGAGGAGATCAAATGCCTCTTTATAGCTTCCCGATTTGAAGGGGACCTTGAGGGTAATGTGAACATAGGATACTTGTTTATCCAAAGGTGCCTTGAGATTAAGAGGAGTACGGAGTTTAGAGGGGAGATAAAATGTGGTGGCATGATCACAATAATTGCCAAGGCTTTGGGTTTCACTAATTGGGTTGAGCAATTAACCCCGGTGAACGGGTCCAATGTCCTTGACCTTGCCGGACTTGCCTCAATGCAAATGCTTGTGGAGATCCGTGGCAATGTCACCACATACTCTTGGTTGGTCAAGGGTAAGCACCGTTGCTTTCTCCCTAATGCGGCGGTAATGAACACCGTGGGGAACACTTGGCAAGTGCCATTTGAGCCACTCCCCGCGAATGTTCCCATCCCTGACCAGCCATCTCAACCTCGTCGCCATAGTATTTCTACCGCTCCTAGGTTTTTCGGCGGCTCCTCTTCTTCTCCTTCTTCCTCCTTCGACCTTGAATCGGCTTTTCACCGCCTAAATCTTTCCAACCAAAGAATCCTCCAAGAAAATGAATATCAAAGTTATGTGTCTCAAATGACATATCAAAGCCAAGTTGAGAGGGGAGACTTTCTCCCCTATGTCAACTATCCTAACCGCCCCGTTCAAGAGGGGCCGGTTGCGGGTTGGAACAACAACCAACCCACCTACTCTTATTGGCAAGGACCTCGTAGCTCCGTTTCGGAGCTACGATCCTTTCCTCCCTACGATTATACACAACCCGGGGGTTGTGATTTTAGGGGGGACCCATCTTATTACCACGTCCCCGAGACATGTGGTAATATGACTCCCGAGGAAATCGATAACCACCCCTTAAGGGGATACTTCGGGTTTCCACCCGGGTATGATGGTGGGTGGGGCACTAGTAATGCACCGGACTACGGTCACTATCGTAGTAGCCCTAGCTATGATCTTCCTCCATACGTGGATCAACCTTCCTTTTCCGGCGATGTAGACCTCAACTATAACTACATGCCATCATCGCCTAGGGAGGATGATCGGGAGTAGCCTTTAGACATTTGTTTTTACCGTTCCCTTCTCTTCTTTTCCCATCATGTGTAACACCGAGGCCGGTGTCGAGTTCTAGCTTGGGGGGGGAGATGTTTCTCATTGTGTCCATCTATCGTGGGAACGGTAATCAAATGTCTAGCTTGGGGGAAGTCTTGGGGTCTTTGTGTCTAGGGTAGTTTTCGGTTTTGGTAGGAAATGTGCTTTCTTGTGATGCCTTTTGTGCTATGTATGGAGAAATTTGAGATTGTATGTGGAATGTTTGGCATGAAAGGCTTAGTCTAGCCTTTGGGACTTGTGGTAGGATTCATAAGGTATTATGTTCTAGTTTGCATGCCTATATTAGGTTGGTTGTTACCCCTTTTCACGTTTTTATGGCATGCCTAGGCTAGAACAATTGCATATTGATGTTTTTGTCCCACTTCTCTTTATGTGTGTGCTATTTGGAGCATCTTATCTATGGCTTTGATATGATCATGCTTTGGTTGGTTTGATTGTTGGTTGGTATCATGGTTGATTGGCATTGTTCTTGGTCTTGCTTGATGGTGAATTTTGATGATGATTTCCCTTAATATCTAAATTTCTTTTTCTTATCCTCTAACCCCTCTAACATCCAAATTCCCTAATATCCAAATCCCTAATATCCAAATTCTTTAATTAGTTTCTCTTTCCCCCATTTTCAACCTTTATTCAAAAAAAAAAAAAAAAAAAAAAAAAAAAAAATTTAAAAAGGATTTTGTTTGCCTTTGATCGGTTTGCAATGATGATATTGAATTGTATGTGGTGGATGTTTGTTTTCTTTTCGTAATAAAATTTCGAGCATGGTTTAGATGCCCTTGGTGGAACATAGAATTGGTTAGTTTAGGCTAGTGTGAGAATAACTTTCCCGAATGTGCGAAACTTAAAGTCTAGGTTTGTGGTAAGATGGAGTCGCCCATATCAAAGGAATTTGAACCCCAAAAGGTAGTAATTGATCCCACATTGTTCCCAAAAGTGAGGGTGTAATATTATTTTTTCAAGCCTACTACATTTGAATGAGTGGCAAGGATCCTCTTTGATTTAGTACCTAGATCGAGAACTTGAGTCCTGACTCCCAAGATCGCGGCCTAAACTACTCTTAGTAATATGAAGTTGTTATGTATTGTTCATTCGCACAAAGTTAAGGCATGTCATTCTTGTTTCCTTAGTTCAATCTTTAAGTTGTTATAAATAATAGTTTGTGATGTAAATACCCAAGTTTGAAAAAAAAAAAAAAAAAGAAGTAATGAATAGCCACCACCCTAGCGATGAAACAAGCTTGGGGGTGCGTTTTTGTTTCAAGTTTATTCATAGTTTGTATTTTGGGTCAAAGTTAGAAACCTCTTTAGGTTTGCTCTTAGTGCTATATATCTTAGCTTGACTTTAATTGCAAAGCACTTCTAGTTTTCTCTATGCCTTAACTTTGTGCCGTATTCCTTGAGTCTTGTAATGTTAGTAGAATAGTTGAAGCCATAGACGGTGGAGGGAGTTGGTTCACAAGCATATGGAGAGGGTATTTATCATTGAGATGTCGAGTGCTCTAAACCTTCTTGGGTCTATTTTTCTTTCGGCTCCTTCGAGGAGTCATGAGACATTACCATTAGGGGGAATTTGAACTTTGTGTTGGGGACGCGGTAAGATTGGTTGAATGGACCAAAGTTGAGTACATTCGGGAAGGTTAGCTAGGCCTCGGCTAGTC